ATTGGAAGTGGCAGAGGAAAAGAAAGGAAAATTCTAGATTACTTACTGCTTATTAGTTGTTGTTATTCAAATTAATCTAAACTAGGACAAGAGATGGTACTTATGAAAACAATTAAAGGACAGAGTTCAAATGTGTACATACTATAAAGAATTGGATAGTTAGTCTTTGTTTTTTATATAAAGTTTTTCTAGAAGCTGTAACCACTTATGTCAAAATTGCTAACATGTCCATCAATGACATATTGCATGAAAATATAACACATGGGAGTTCCATAGCAAAACAAATAAATTAATTTGATGACTGTGGGTAGCAGGAATTTATTTTGAAGGCTGTCTGTCAGATAAAGGCCTGAGCAACAATAATCTTTACAGATTCATGGCTATCAAAATAACCATGCCTGGGTGTTCATGTGGATCAGATATAGATCGGTTAAGTTTGATAGCATTGCAGCTGCAAGTGATAGTAGATAACAGTCAAAAGTTATTAACATTTTAAGCTTACATTAAGTTCGTTGTTCAGAAGGACATAATGCATCTTGTGCCATTGGGATTATAGAATCTACTTTTGTGATCCATAAATTATTAGTGCACTGCATTCTTCCATGGTAGAACAGGTTCGAGGGGCTGAATGGCCTACTCCTGGGCCTATGTTCTAAAGAATACTGTGACAATAACCTATGGGAAATCAGAAGACAGCTAAAACGCTGGCTGAAGACATTTATCTTAAAAGGTCATTGTTCAAGTTGAGGACACAAGTAGGAAGAAAGGGAACCTAGACGCTTAGCACAATTGGTCAAGTTTCACCACTGGACTGAAGGCCGGTGCAGCATGGGGCAGATTTGAAACTACATAAACACCAAGCCACAAAATTAAGTATAGGTCTGAAAATGAAAATTATGGAGTTGTTGCATTGTGCCAAAAGAATGTCAACCACAATAAACCAAAGAACTGCAGATGCTGAAGACTGAAAAGATCAACCAAGGTCAGCAAGGATGAAAACAAACAAACTACGCAGGATGAGACATATACACTGGCTTTCTGAAAAAAGTTTTACATTTGTGTAAGTTGATACTCGAAAGAGTAATGAGGCCGGCTTTTAGTTACATGGATGTAGTGAAGTCAATCATAGTGCAATAGTGGAATCAAGTGTACTCCATAGACTCCAAGTTTGCCAAGAAGTCCATACTATTTGTGAGCACCCGAGTCAATTCCCAGGAAAGACAGCAAGAGAGTGAGCTTGTGGCTAGCACAATTTCTGTAGCAGTCAAACAGATGTGTTATTCATAGCAATTATAAATACAAGAGTGCAAAATCCTCTCAAAATTTGCTTCTTAGCATTGGAATAATTTTCTAAAACATTTATAACAATCCTGATGACTGACTTTCAAGAGAATTCATCTCAAACTTGTCTGTTGAAAGAAATTTGAACTAGCAAACTTAAAAGAACAACTTGCATTTCTAGGATGCCTTTTAATACGTCAATTTGGGCACCCACTCATTGTGCCTACTTTCTGACACCTGTCATTCAACCTATTTTCCACTCATATTCAGTAATCTGCCCTTAATTCCATGAGCTTCTACCTTAGGTAGCAATCTTTTTTGTGAGATTTTTATCAAATGCCTTACCCAGAGGTTGGTGGGAATCTAGAATGCAGTGTCTAGAAAGGCAGTAGCAGTGGGAAACCTTTGAAAAGTATGAGGATGAGCACTTGAAATGTCATAACATTTGAGTCATGTGCTGGAAAGTAGATTAGTATAGACAGATTGGTGCAGACTCGATGGACCAGTGAGCTCTTCTGAGTACTGTATGACCCTATGACTCAACCTGACAAGAACTATCACTTGGCAAAGGAATCATTAGGAGTTATTAGCGCCATAGTTAGAGGTTTTCAGAACAGCATTAAGAAAGAGGAAGCAAGACATAGTTGGGAACAGAATTCTGAAATGGAGGGCAAGACTGCAAGAAGAAGAAAACAGCCAACAATGGCAAAGGGAATGGGAATGCACAAAGCAGTCTTACAACAGTACTGTCTTTTCCCAAATCCAGGAACTGAACTAAGGTTGACTTGGACTTAATATTAAAATTATTTTTCTTATCAATGCCTTTTGTCATGAACATAGGCACTGTTGTATAAAAAAATACAACTGATAATAAGTGACTATTCTATTCTATGATGAAATGCAAAAATAAAAGGCAGTGATGTGTTTGCAGCAGGTTGAGCATCAAGGCCCCATTACCTAATAAGTTTCAAATGATTTTTAAATTTAAAATTATAAATTGCCATCTTCAAGACAAAAGTCTGCCACACACCAAACTCTTGTGGCACCATTCACATTGTTTAAAGATGGCATGCAGCTTTGTGCAGCTGAGTTGAGGTCAGCAGTTTTCTGTGTTTAATTCTGTACAAGAATGGTAAGCAGGAGAATGCAGCTTACTGGAGACTCAGATGCAGCAGGTATAAGTTAGTGGTGGAGGCGAAGGGAATATGTGGTGTGGAGGCATGCAACAGAGATGAAAGACAGAACAGAAGGTGTGGTCAGGAGCCTGGAGGAGGCTCCTCCAGGGGAACAGCTGTCCCAGGATGTGGTGGGAAGTGCATTGTGAGCAGTCAAGATAAGAAAAGCAGGGGCCTAAGGACAATGTTAGTACTATCTACGTCTGTGAATGTCTAGGTGTTAGCTGAATCCACCTAACACATTTCAATTATTCCTACAGAGAGCAATCATGGACAATGTCCTTTACAGTGCACAGAAGTGAGGCCAATGAGATTGCAAGATCAGTCATATTACACAGGGTTGCAAGTACAACACTGGACTCTAACACGAACATTCAATAAGGACCAAATGTAATGTCATTTCTTCCACAATAACGTCCCTACATCTCCTGCAGCCATCAACGTATGCCAACCACAAGGTGCACCTGTACAATTAGCAATTTAACTAAGTTAGTCTCAACAAATAACAATGATGGACATATTAAACAAGTGAAGCCAATATAAAGTGAAATATTTACAAGGTACATTTTATTTGTTGGAAACAACTACGCCACCTTTGTGCTCTCAAGTCTTAGGCTAATGGAAATGTGGTTTGGGCAGGAAAGTTGTGGCCATGACGCAGAGTCTCCATGTTTGAAAGAGAGGGTCTTTTGATTGTACACTCATAGCTGCAGCATCGTCAACTGACAGTGGATTTCACCACTGGAAACTTTCCTTCACCATAGAATTATAGATGTCTCTCATGCATGCCTTTGATACTTTAAATTTTAATTATAATCATGTGGGAAACTTGGGAATAGAGTGGTGGGGTGGGGGAGCACTCCAGCACTGCTGTGAAGAATGTCACGCCACTGAAGATTCCACACATCTGACGCTTGAAAGCAGCCCAAGGCTGCAGAAATGTAACAGAACATAAAAGTAACTTGAAAATAAAACACCACAACTTATGTACATGCTGTCCATGAAACTTTTTTTAACTATCGATTGCTGACTTACTAAAAATACTCACCATAATTAAAAATGTCAAGACCTTGATTCCAACATCTTACTTGTTAATGAAAGAGAAACAGCAATAGGGTCCAAACCTGAAGTGTAAAGTCTGCCTGTTCCCACAGCTGACTTAATAGCCGCTCTCTGGTTTGGGTACTTTCTGTTTTCAATAAATGCATGTCTCGTCCCAATTCCAAATGCCCACAACCTCTCACACTGAGGAAACTGGCTTACACAATGCAATAAAGTCTTTTAGGTTGATAAATTACAGTCACTCAAGTGACATAATAAAAGTGTGGATTTAGAAGACTTGCATTTATATTGCACTTTGTGTGACCACTGGATGGCACAGTGTTTTAAACTGCTGTTGTTGTTGTAGTAACGTAGGAGACCTTTAAAAATGTGAAACACTTCTAAAAATAATTTACATATACTGCTTCTCCCTAAGCTTTGGAGACTACCCAAGTTAACTAACTGGAAGAGGTACTAGAATACACTATAACTCAACATTAAAAATAACATTCCAACAATTTAAAAATCAGTGGGATGGATGGTTGAAGACATTTTGTGCAAATCAGCTTTAAAGGAAAAGGAGTGGGAAAAGTACAACTGACATTTATCAATAGTACAATTACTGTACTTAAAGAGATGGAACTTAGAGACTAGCACAAAACCACCTGATAAACTGGTTGTAGTGATTGTAACAAAGTTAGCCAGGTTGACTTCAGAATATGATTGGGGCAGTTAACTTGGTCCAGTCATGGAGCCCTGGCTGACAGATAAACAGGACTGTCAAAGGTGCTGTTCACTCTGAGAGCTGGCTCTGAGGAACCTGGATCAGTATCAAGGACTCTCCGTGTCTAAATAAAGGGTGACTGTGGAGTTATTTCACCGGGTCATCAACCTTGTGCATTAACTCCTGCTCATTTACATCTGCTGCCTGACCTGCTGAGTATTTTTCAGCATTCTGACACTTTTTTCTGGGTCTCAGCATCCACGGTGCTTTGCTCTTGAAAGAAAAATATTTATTGGAGAGCCTTCGCTTCAATGCTAAAACTGTGGGGAACTCATTACTTTTCCCCACGTCCCGCTCTCAGACCTTTTTCTTTTGCACTGGTCAAAATTCACAAGTCCATTTTCTGGAGCGATTCTCCCGATCGAGTTAAAAAGACCTGTCCAACAAATCGCAGGTTTACCTGCAGAGAGAGAGAGGTGCGCCTCCAGCTGGCGGACAGGGAGCGGTACATCTGCATTGCCCATTGTACAGGACGCGAGAAACTAGCAGCAACGTGGGCGCCAAGTCCCCGAGACCCTTCACCAGGACCCACCTCAACAAAGTAAAATCCAAGCCAAGAAAAGCAGAACAGAAAGCATAGGATGTTTGTTAATTTCCCCCCAACACAGGGGATCTGCCCTCGCACAATTTCAATTACTACATTTTTTTTTAAATGTAGCTATCCAGTCTAATATAAAAACGCCATTTATGGTTAGCCAGTTGTTATAGTCCTACTTTACCTCGATGGGGCTTGAAGGCGCCTCTCCTCCACTCACTGGAAGCTACGAACTCCAGGTAAGCTGCCCAAACTCCGAGCGCCACAATCACAACAAACATCAGCACGGTGAAATGTTTCCGAATCTTCTTGATAGGAATGAGGAACACCATCCTGTACATGACCGATATTAAATAAATAATCTGTATAAATTAAACAGGCTCTCTCTGCTGCCTTTGTTCCCTTACTGTACGGGCGGCGGAGGCGCTCCTTGGCTCAGCCCCCTAGCTCCAACTCATTGTAACAAAGTGACGGCCCGCATGGTGGGGGGGAGTCGCGGGGGGGAGAGATGCAGCAGCTCCTCCTTCCCCACTCACACTCACTGCCTCTGCATCCACTCCGTGCTATATTTCTTTTCGAAAGGCAAGGAGTTCTAGAGACAGTATTTCCGAATCTCTGACACAGACCGACGTCCTTCACTTCTTGCCGCAGCCTGCAGGGGGTTAGGGGTATTAGAAGTCACTGCCTTCGTTGTAAAGCGCCAACGTTTAAAAAGGTAATACCCAATGATCCGGCTTGAAGCCTTTCTGCTCCTATGATGCTGCTTGGCCTGCTGTGTTCATCCAGCCCTGCACCTTGTTGTCTCGGATTCTCCAGCATCTGCAGTTCCTACTATCTCCAATTAACATCGGGCCGATCTGTTCAGTGAAACTCACCCGCTTACTACACTAACGCTCCCAGTCTTACACTCCCCATGTTTTGACTGTTACCTTGCTGTTTCAAACAACAATCATTATTTGTAAATAGTAATTTTTTTACTTGCAATAAACCTCGAAAGCGAAAGTAAGAGTTACGTTGATCTGTTCTGTCGTCTTTTTTTAACGATCCATCGTTTTGACATAATTTCAGTTGCAGTGCTCCTCCCCCTACTTTACACCAAGTTACTCTGACATAATTTCAGTGGTTCAAATAAGTGGTATTCAGTGTTAAAGAGTGTGCAACATTGTATTTGTATTTGCATATCTGGAATCCTGGGTTAACATAAATACCATAAAATAATAGTTACAATTAATTACAATCATTTGTTGGTCGGCGTGGGGTGTGAGGAATGGTGTTGAATGTGTCTCCTCCATCCATTTAGAAGCCACAATGTTCGACCCTGAAATCACCATACAAAACAGTATAGAGCTCAGTGTTTATATGTGTAAAATAAATGTACTTTCCCAAATCCTCCACTGTCTGTAATCATTTTGCTTCCGTCTGTTCGCCTGTTAAGTAGTTAACCCTGTGTACAAGTCAATCACTAGATCCTAACTCACCTTTCTGCAGGACAGCCTTCCCCCCAATACACCTTAAGCCTGGGAGCCATAGATTTGGCATACAACTGATCATGGCAAGTGCTACTAGTTGTGGGTTGATTAAATGTCAAACAGTAATGTGCTGCCCTCTCACAACCAAATATTCCTACTAATCCAGCCTAATACAGAAAAAGGTAATCAATGACTCATTTCTTCCGGCAAACACTCTCCTCATTCCTTTCCAATCTCACTTCTAATGCCAAATGCAATCGTGCTCATTCATGGAACTACCTTTGCTGCTTCCATCCAGCCCTGCATTATTTAAATACTTTCACTCTGTGAGGATTTCAAACAGCCACAAGAAGTAGGTGTTTAAGAAGAATATGTGACACAATTTCGCTGCTATGAAAGGAGAATATCTTGATAGTTTCCATAGTGTGATTTATCTCCCTACTGGAAAATGATTACAACTGTAATTTATCTGACATCAAAGGGAAGTTCTTTCCCTTCTAAATCCATAGGATGAGCAGAGGCTTGATGTAAGTAAAGTCTTGAAGTTTTCAAGATCCCAGCTGCAATATCGCCAGGGCTTCAGGCTTTGTTGTTTTTCATCCACTTGATTGCTGGTGCAGTTCTCCCATTGATGGATCTCCACGCATGGACAGTATCAGCTGCCACTGTGGTTTCATGGTTGAGGAGTTGTCCAAAATGTTCTTTCCAGGTTTAACAGATGGGCATTGTCAGCCTTAAGATGAGAAACACAATCCTGTGAACAAGGAAAGACTTCGTTCAGGCCTGATAGAGCATTATTGGCTATCTCAGGCATTCTCTTCCAACCACTTGTTCTTCCAGTTTTGTCTTTCAGCATCAGCCTTGAGATGTTAGAATGGTGTTGACAATGCTCAAATCCAATTGTCTGTGCACAGAGGTCTGGTACAGTGGACTTTAGTTGATCCCATTGGTGTGCATTTGAGTTGGATATGTGAAAAAATTCCATATTGGTCCTGATCTGCACTTGGAATTCCTGTCTGTGGTCGCCCTGTTTTAGGGTTAAGAAAGTGATTTTTTTTTTGGAGTTTATGGTTTTTGCAATGTGTTGGTATTAGGTAGATATTCATCACTCATCGAATGTCAATGATCCAGCAGGCATAGATGGTCTAATACAGGCATCACTTAGATATTCGACCCAAACAATTCTCCAATTCAGGAGGTGCAAATCCTTTGACCTGTTATACCTCAATTTGCTTTGCATTTGCTCTGCTAGAAATATTATTATATTGATGCCATATTAATCACAGTTTGCCTACTTCCCGTGGCTGAGGAAATCCACCAGAGACAGTGTAACTTTAGACCCTCCAGAAGAATCTTTGGCATAGTCTTCTTGACAAATAAACCCAAAAATCATGTTGAGAACAACACCAGGAGCTGTCATTGCTTTCATCAAACTGACCAAAACATTTGATTCATTACATTTTGAGGCTTTATGGATTGTACTTCAAAGGTGTGGATGTCCAAGAAACTCCCCAATAATTCTGCAATTGCTTTATGATGATATAACTGAAACTATCTTGATTGAGAGATCTGAATTAGGTGCCTTCAAAATCCATACCAGTGTCAAGCAACACTGTGTGATATGATTTACAATCCACCTGACAATGGGTACACACCTTATCAAAGATCAGGTATCCTCTCCTGTCAGTATTAAATTCTTTCCAGATGCAAAACCCTTTCATCACAGTCCTGTCAGTGCCAAAATTAAGCTGGCCACCATAGATCCACATAATCTACAGTTTGCAGATGACAGCAGTGTTGTTGCCTACTATACACCAAATTTGCAAGGCACTCTTGATCTCTTCAACTCTCCATACAAGAGCCACAGTCTGTCTTTGAATGTTGGTAAGAAAAAAGTCATATATCAATTCACATCCTGTTCAGTCAGACATTCCAGATTCCATATACATTGAATGAGACAGTCTGGAATATGTCAAATACTTCCCATAATTTAGCAGTCACCTCTCTCATAAGGCCACCACTGGCAAGGCAATCCAACAGAAATCAGCAGGTAAAGTATAAGAACTTTTAAACAAGCTTGTCTGTGTTGGAGGACCAAAGCAGGAGTTCCAATCAGCCTGCAGCCACACCTTACACAGTTCATGCCATTTGTTGCAGCTTGCAAATTGCACTGCGGTCCAAACCCTGTGTGATAAGACCAAATTAGTATGTGCATTGACACATGAGACACTTTACAAAACACTTTGCACTGTTGGATTTTCAGGTTCCAGACACAAGGTTAGGCCCGTTGTCTCCTCTGGAAATGTAACATTGAACACTGCATTTGATGTGATTTTTGTCATTGCAACTTTATATGAAATCTCTTTTATAATCACTAGATTTATCATTTTTGTGTAATTTTCTTCCAGTGGATTTGTAGTGATGTCATAACTGCTTAGCTTATATTGGTATTTAATTGATAATTTACGTGAATGGGTAAAACTACAGAAAATGGAGTTTAAGATATAATTAATTAATGCATTTATTAATGTATTTATGCATTAATGTAGACATCCACTTTAGACAGAAAAGATATAGAACAGACCATTTGCTAAATGACGAAAAGCTAGAGACAATGGCGGTCCAATGAGACTCAAGTATTTAGCTACAGACATTATTAAAATGTCATGAGCAAGTGGGGAAAATAATCAAAAAGGCTAATGGAATAATGAACCTTAAATCTAGAGGGCTAGGATACAAGACAGTGAAAGTCATGTTTCAGCTATATAAAGCTTTGATTAGACCAAATCCAGAACAAATGCAAGCAGTTCAAACTGAGCACCACAGCTTAGGAAGAATGACCTTGGGGGAATGCAGCATTGGAGATCATGGTTTTGATATTACGATTGATCACAACACAGTTATGCATATGTTCACAGATTCCAAAGTCAACTTGAAGTACCATCATCTAACAACAAACAGTTTTGTAGTGTACACTTGACTGTGACAATAGTGACCTGCCCATGACAGTCTTCATGTTATTAAATTTCATTAGTCACATGACACCAGGATATAGTCCAACAGGTTTGTTTGAAATCATAAGCTTTCAGAGCACTGCTTCTTTGTCGGATGAGGTCCTGGCATTTCATTGGCATCTCTAGAGAAGAATTGGCTTTCCCAGCAAGCTGTGTGTGGTGCTTTGATTTGTTTTGACACAACCATTCCCTCGAAGCTTAAATTATGAGGAGAGATTACACAAATGAAGGTTGTATTCCTTGGAATTTAGTAGGTTAAGAGGTGATTTGATCTATAGTTCTAAGATATTAACTGGAACTAATAGGCTAGATAGATCAAGACTATTTCTGCCAGATTGGAGAATCTAGGCAAGGGAGCAGAGTCTAAACATTAGAGACAGACCTTTCAGGAGTAAGATTAAGAAATACTTCTACACACAAAGAGTGTTGGAAGTTTGTAACTCTCTTCTGAAAGCAACAATCATGCTGGATCAATCTTAATTGTAAATCTGAGATTGATAGATGCTTTTGATACAAAGCTAAGAAAGAATATAGGCAATGGCAGTTATGTGAAGTTAGATTACAGAACAGTCATGATTTCATAAAGTGACAAAACTGATTCAAGGAGCTGAGTGGTCTTCTCCTGTTCCAATGTTCATTTATTACTTCAGTTACTAAGATGCCATTCAGAGTATAAGTTGTTGCTTATTCTTCTTATATTGCAGTTTGAGCACCAGTCTCAACAATTCATACTCTGTTTGTTGTGTAAACTCAGAACACCTGATTATAGCTGCTCATAAGGTAACAGCTGGATCATGAGTTACCAGTCTCGCAGCTGTCAGTTTTATAAATCTTTCCTTTGTTTTCAGTTGCCTCCATGGTTTAATTCTATCTTTGTAAACTACTCCAACACTACAACCTCTGAGATATCTGGACTCTTCCTACTCTACTTGTACAACTTGAATTTTCACATGTCCACCCAGTGACAGCTGTGCCTTAAACTACCATGTATAAACTCCAGAATTTCCTGCTGAAAAAATCTCTTCCTCTCCATTTCTTTGTTCTCCTTAAAGAAACTCCATAAAGCCTATCTCACCAATGCTTACATGGCTGTTGTTTGAAAGTGCACTTGTGAAGAACATTAGGACTTTAAATAGCACCTGGAACCAAAGAAGACATTGCATTGTTGTTGTAAGTATTCCAAACAGGCGTCGCATCCTTTATGTTTGAGATTATTTCACATTAGTTACTATTATCATCACCGTTTATCATATTTTTCATTCAGTTGATGAAAGTGGCCACTTTGAATTACTGCAGCCTTATTGTTTCAGAAAATAAATTATGTGTATACAGGTTATAAAGTTAATTCAATTATTAAACATCTTCGATTGCTGGTAATTGCAGTGGCTGAGTAGCACAATGTCATGGAGATTAGGATCATGCACGGTACTCGACTGCAATGAGG